CTCAATCCAACAAAAACAACACAATAGGAGCATTTAACTGAAAAATAAAAAATAAAAAACATATAGAAATTCTCCTACTTACTGGTGCAACAGAGCACCTGCTGACTTGGTCTTGGTCAAAGCCATGCTTGTTCACCAAAGCTTTAGCTTCACCTGTCATGTCAAAACCTTGGATGGCAGCTCTGGAGACAGAAACAAGCAGAAATAGAGACATGAACCTCTGCAGCAAAGTTTGTTTTATGCTCTCTTTCTGAGCAGATGTCAGAAGTTCAGTCTGGCTCTTCAGATTTGGGATGGGGTATGCAAGATACTTCATAAAGTTACTCCTGACAGCTGTCGAAACAGCAGCAACAGGCCAAATAAAATGTGGTATGAAGGAGACTGGAAATTGGAAAGTGACAGAGATTTCTTTTTGGTCACAGTTATGAGTGCGAAATGACTGAGTAAGAGGCAATCTCACCGCTGATTCGACAGCAGCGGTCGTACTTCAATCTCATGGTCTTCAGCATCGTGATCACCAACAGCCCATCCACTGTCCATTTTCCTGATTATGGAGAGGTATTCACAGTCATTATCAGTTATCAGGCGGGCACAGAAAAACCTCAGGGTGAGCGCTTCAGGTCATTTCACTGGGAGATCATGCTGGAGTGCTGCATGTCCATGCATGATTGTTGAACATGCTGTCTAGTTGTATTTTATTCTCTGCTTTTCTGCTATATTCTTTTACGCTGTATTTTTCTTTTTTTTTTCTGTTTATAATTTCATTCAATTTAGGGGTTTATGTTAGGGCATGGTGACATGCTGAGTGACTGCTGCTTTTTCTTATTGTTACAGCAAATTGATAGTTTGTGTTGTCTTTGATCATATTTTTCCATCATAGATTATTTCCCCCCTTTTTAAGAAAAAAAACAGTTGCTTATAGTACAATCTGTGGGTTGCTGTAAAATAATTACATTTCAAACATTTAATAATAAATATTTTATACTACACTTCTGATAATAAGTGGTTGTACTGTTGGAGGCAAATGGAGCAAACACATAATCATCTTCAACAGGACACACTTCACCTCACACACTGTTTTTAGGAGCCATCATCTATGTAATGTACAATAGAAAAATGTAAAAAAAAAATCTTTTTAGCTCTATTGAAGTCATGAAAGTACAATTATCTAAATTGCTCAATCTCCAGAAATACCTGATATTGTCTTTCTTTTTATTGCTATTCTCTCCTCCTGGATCGTCCCTCGTGTTCCTGAAACATATGTATACAGTGTCTGTTAGATAATAGTGTTGACTGAAAAGAAATTGATAATAAACGCTTACAGCCTTTCCAATACCAAACATTTACTTGTTCATGGCTCTTTGATGAGATTCTCTGTTGACATTAGGGGAGCTTATGTCTCCGCTGCAAAACAAATACTAGATAAGAATGGCACAGATTCTTCTGAGAAATCTCATTCACTACTTGCCCTGTTAAAGGGGCACTCAGCCTAAATCTTCAAAGCTAAGTAGACTTCAGGCAGAAGAAAAAGTAACTAATTGTTATTCTCACTTTTTAGTGGGCTGGATTGTCTCGTTCCTGAAGTTGTGGTCCAGACTAAGAGATTGAGGAGTCTTGCCATCAACCTTCGAATCAATACTATGGAGACAAAGGTAGCTTTTAGTAGATTAGAGTCTAGACTTTCTATTGCTATTAAAACACAGACACACACACACATATGCACGCACACGTTGTCAGTCCTGACAAACAAGCTAATAAAGGGTCAGAGTGGATAAAAATGTTTTATTGTTAAAGTGGAAATCTAACCTGTGAACATGCACACTATGAAGTGCGTTTTCTTGCTCCGTTTCATTTTCACCACTTCCATGTGGATCTCCATCACGGGGGTTTACAGTGCTGTAATGACAAAGAAAATATGTTTTAAAAAGTGCGTTATAGATTCACAGGATGGATTAAAGTTCACTGATCTCTGCTGAAAGTAGTGTCTGAATGTTAGCTCACCCAATATCACCGTTCTCTTGAGTGTCTTCATCAACAGCTGTATCTTCCTCAGTTTCCTCATGTCTTAAGAGGACATAGGAACAAATTTACTGTCAGCAATACCAACAAGTACCAAGAACAAACTTAGAATGTAGAATGAAGGAGGATATTTATTGTCAGAGACTGAAGAACATATTTGAAAGTTTCTAACTGTATTTCCCTGTACTGTAATTCTCCAACAGATTTAATTTTCTATTCACCAGCTTTTCCTCTTGTATAAACTTAGTGGTCATCTGCATGACTCATTAATGTGGATACACACTGAGCAACCCGTAACTTAATGACAGAAGTGTATATATGCGTGCTCAGATGAACAGGCCCAGCTGAAACATACAGCACATTAAAAGTAAGACTGACCTAGTTTCTTCGCTCTCTTTACTCTGTTGGTGGAAAGTCCCCTTTCTGAGACGATAGCAAGTCAGTAGGTACTGAGAAAAACCAGAAGCTGCGGCTGCACCATGCTGCGTCCTAACAGACAGAAGAAACAATCAGTAAACACATGATGTCTGAATCCAAGCAACACACTGTTAGAGTCAATGTGTGACAGACATTAACAGTTAATTGTTACTACAAACAACAGAACACACCTCAGTTCTTTTTTCCAAGACATGTAACACCAGCAAAGGATCCCAAAGCAGACGACAAACACGAGTATCACGCCTAATATTTTGACTGACAGAGAAAATGCAAACATGTCACCTTTAAATATTCATTTGCTTTATTTATAGACTAAGAATAGTGTGTGCCATTAAATATGTGACAGAATAAACTTTCACTCACAGATGAGGGCCAGTAGTTTTGATGAATCAATGGGAGGAGGATTCTTAGTTTCTGTTTAAGATGAAGAAGTGGGACACTTTCATATTATGTACACATAATATTTGTGTACGTACAGTTAAATTATACAACATATCCCACTGCCTTACCTGTAGTTTTAAAAACTTTGCAGGTCTCTGTTACTTTCTGTCCCTAAGAGGCAAAATGTGAGAGGGTACAGTAAATACTCCAGATTTACAACAAAACAGAACAATAAGACCTGAACTGATTCAATTCACCTAAGTACACAAAGGGAAACTCACATTAAGAATTATGCATTTAACTGTGAGGTCTTGGCAGCGTGTTGTGATGACCGAGTTGTTGTCAAATCTCGTCACTTCACTTGTGTAATTGAAGGTCCTTGAGCTCAGCACACCGAAGGCGGTTAGTGTCTGCAGGAAAATAACAAGAAGATGACATCATACTTTCACTTCCTTCCTTTTTTTTTTCGAAGTTGAAGGATCAACATGGCTTTTTCGTAATTTTTTTAAAATGCAAAGTAGGGCGCCACTACAAAAACAAATCAAAGTACCTCAAACAAAGCAAAATACCTCATTAGCAAAGATGTAAACCTCACTGTCCTTAGGACCACCATGTTTGAACAGAAATCCACCAGAAGTCTTAATGTCGTCGCAGGAAACATTCCTCTCAGGGCATTCTATAAAACAACCAAATCAAATGTCAAAAGAAATTTTTGGCTTACTACACAATCTCTTAATAGTAACAGAAACAGCATAACTGAAAGACGACTAGTAACAGTTACTGCTGCTACAAAAACAAAAAACATATCTTTAAAAAATATAGAACAGCTTGGGAGAAATACATACTCCCAGTGCTCCATCGCTTACCTAGTAGTTGTCCGGCGCAAAGTGGTGTAATTATGAAGGCTGTTACAAACGTTTTAAGGCTCATTTTGTCAACGATTCGAAGCCTAGCTGTAATGCTTGCGCTTCAGTGAAGAAATCAGGAAGTGTGAGTCAGGAAATGACGCAACATAGATAAAAAAAAAGGGAGTGAATGAAAGGGGGGGTTGGTCCAAGTTTATACTAGGGATGACTGGATCCCTTCACCTTTATACCTATGTTATCAGCTTTCTTTCTTTCCTAAGTTTTTTCTTGTGGTCAGGTTAAATCAGCAAACCTGTTACATAACAAACTGTCCTGCTGTTTGCTGTTTTGAATTTGTAGTTTTGCACACCAAACACAAGGGGAGGCCCTTGTCATGTGGGTCAGAGACACACTCGGAGCAGAGGGCTGTTGAAAGGAGACACAAAATCACCACAGGGATTGATTTTTATTGTCAACATCATCAAAATGAAGAGAAAACAACAGTTCATCTGTCTTTTATGCTGCAGCCCAGTATGAATTCTGTAATGCGGCATGTTGTTTCTACCATACAGATGGATGTGTTTAAATTTATCAAAACTTGTACTGCGTTTATCCCCATGTGATCTTTGCAGACAGTTTGTGGACAGAGGATGGCAGTCCTCCCAACATATTGTAACCATGAGAGAACAGAGGAACACTCAAAGAGGCCCCTGTCATTTCCCTTTCAGGCAAATATACACACTCACACAGTGCAAAGATAAAGCAGCAGCCGCCATGGTACAACACGCTTCATTTACACTGCATCTTCTCTGGTCCACCGAGAAAAAACAGTCCATAGTCTGTGTCACTCAATATGGGCCCCTTTCTATCTCTTCAACTCAGTCTACTTCCTTCATTTCTCTGTTCTTTCCTGCCTGTCCTTTGCCCTCTTCTGTCTCTGTTACATGGCAATGATCCACCAGCATAGTTGAGCAAAAATGCGCTTCCAAATAATACTATCAAGTTTCCACCTTAAACATAATTATCACACTGGCTTAAATGCGGGAGGAGATAAAGTGACATTGAAGACAATGAGATTTACTTATTAGCCAGTTTGGTGTGACTAACTAGTTTAACATTGCATCATCCGTGATCACTTCATCACCCTTCGGCTTGATCCTTAATGAATAAAGATGACAGCATCGCAACACACATGAATGAGAGAGTAAATGGACTTGGCTCAGCTCCCTTGGGGTAAGCTGTGTTGGAAGTGGACTTGTCCAATCATCTGATCCATTTTCCATAGATATCGAGTGACAGTGGGAGGCTTGGATATCCTGCCATCCCTCCCCATATCCACAGAGTCCCTGCATAAACAGAAAAGAACAGAGATGACGCAGGGCAGGCTGAAAACACACACAAAGCTAAGAACATGCATGTCCCATGGCTCCCAGTCCTACAAACATTGTGCAGCTAGGTCTGAAGTCTGAATGAGTTGATTCAAAACAGTCTAAACAGGACTTTTGGGGTAAATAATTGCAAATCTGCTGCTCTTGAACTGTCTCCCCATCTGTCTCAGCTCCTTTTTTGTTCAGAGCAGCGGTGAGAGATAAACAACTTTCTTCCCGTCTCACTGCCACTTGCTCAGTCCTTAGTTCTCTGTCCATGTGGAGGAGGGTTGTACAGTTTTGGCTTAGGATATTTTTTATTAACAATAGAAGGACAGTGGCGAACTCACCCCCATGCAGTTCATTATTATGAACCCAAGTTTGAAAAAAATAAAACTGTGGTGCACCATTTGGGGTGTGTGAGTTGTGGAGTCAAAGTAACATCCCAAGAATCCTGAGTAGGTCTGAAACAATAGTACTGGCTGCTCAGTACTCTGCTTGGCTTGAGTTTGCATAGCTCCACAACGGTTTCAAAATATACCCGGTAGAAAGTAGACCGCAACCAAAACAGAACATACAGGCCAGGAGTGACTCCTTTTAAGAAAACAGTATCGTGTTCACACCCTGACAGTGAGTATTTAGACTTTTTCTATAGATTACGCAAATTTTCCAGTTGTATTACCCAAACGTTGGGCAGCATCACAGACATTTACATGGCATTTACTATTTTCCCTAAAACCCAACTTTAGAAGTGATACAACTGTGCCGAGGGAAAGCATCGAGTCAGAAGGGGTGCTTTCAAGTAAAATGGTAATAAGCATAATCCCTCATTCTGAGTGCAAGACCAAAGGAGAGGAGAGTTTAGAGAACAGCAAATCGTGCTGGGACTGTTACAGACACTTTGGGCTGTCCAGTTGGCTCAGTATGAAGCCTGAAACCTCCACTGGCACAGGTTTGATATCACAAAGGGACATCTTGACACTGCCAGCACAGGAAGCACACCAATACCCAACACACACCGACATACTAACTTGCGTACAGAGAAATATGTACACGGTTATTAAATTCATCTGTGCACTCACGGAGCTGTAATGTGTCAGGGTGTTCTGTAATATATAAACATTCAGTCATGCTACGTGCTTACATCATGGCACTTACTAACCAAGTAATGAACAGCTTAAAAAAAAAGTAAAGTCTGAACAAATATTCTTCATGGGCGCTGGGAGTGGAGCTGTCATGGGAATATATGAATATTTGAAATCACAGGGTCTTACACAATACTATGTACACCCCCTTCCCATCTACACGTCCTACAATACACACATATAAAAAGCCCCCTCCAAAGTCAGCCAACTCTCCCCTTCCAAAACCACAGCTCCCCTTTTGCAGAGCTTGGTGAGCCTGGGCACAGCAACCTGATCCTGCTGAGAAAGTCTTATAAAAGGAAGACAATAAAGTAGTCCAATCAAAAACACCTCTCCTCCATAGTGTTAGACAAAAAATATCTGAGAGATATTTGCTAACAGCCCGAACCGTGCTTGAGGGCCTATCAGTATTCTGCTATAAAGGCTTGGTGAAGCTGCATGAGGCTTCAACATAAAAACAGTCATGCCACAGCCCTGCGTAGAGTTTGATGCACAGCAGCTTTAGTTCACATGGTGCTGAGGCACATGTTGCGCAATTTTGGACAGCCTCTATTACTGTAATCTGTTTTCCAGCTCAATCTCCTGAGAGGGATCTCTGTCAGAAAACAAACCTCTCTGTTTGAAGCATGGCCTCCAGTTAAACTTGTTCAACTTCTGCTTTTTTCTCTATATTTCACTCTGCTCCTTATTCTCTGTTTTTCTCTCCCGTTTTCCCTCTCCCTCCACTTCTCACTCCTCTCTCTCTGCCCTATGCTCTCCTTTCCCCCCCATACGTTTCTTTTCTCTGCTCTCTTCATTTCTTTCCCCCCTCTTTGATTCGTCAGTGGAGTAAGTCTCAGTATTTGGCTGGGCAAACCCAGGGCGAGCGTGTCTTGTTACAGCAATCCAGGCTCTCTGATAAAGCCGTGCATTGTGAAGGATAATCCCTCAGAAACAATCAGGATTTTTATATCCTGCCTTCTGTTATTTCTGTAGCCTCACACACACATATACATATACCCATAGCTTGTACACACACGCACACATACAGTGCAACTGAATTCACAAACATCACCATTTGTTCTGACACACACACACACACACACACACACAAGTACATTTACAAGCACTGGCATGCACTGCACGCTAAGTGGACTCATGAGAAAGTATGCAAGAAATTCACATCAAATTACCCATTTGGTTAATTTTGTTTAGAAGCTGTTCTCTGTGTATGCTGTTTCCTGCAATTCAAAACAGCATCCAAGACTGTCCTACCTATAACTATGAGTGGCATGACAGGGGCTTTAGGGGACAGGGATTTGCGGGGAGTTGCGGCAGCGCTGTAAAATGTCAGTTAAGTCGGTATGTCTATCAGTGTCATGTTTTGTTAAGGCAGCCCTTGTGTAGCCTTTCACACTTGGCTGATCCCTATTGTTAAATAAACAAAGCCTTGTGTTTGGTGGTGCTGCGGATCAGTGAGGCACTCACCTGAAAAACTGGAGTAGGACGGTGGTGTACTGCATGAAAAGCACATTTTAACACATTTAAAGTTTCTCATTAAAGACAATGTGCCACCAGGCCATTTCAGCAGCAGCAGTCATTTTGAGATGTAATAGCACGAAAAGTACAAGCGAAGTTAATAACATTAACAATGGATGTGTGCCATTTAGGCGCTCCTCTTCCAGGACTCTGGTACCTGACTGGGACACTCAAATTGAGTGGTGCTGTCATTTAGGTTATTAGTTCCACCGGTAATTTTCTTGCTTTAAAAACCTGCTGCAAAAAAGGCCGATTGTATGAGTCAGTTTTCACTCTCCAACTGTGCTGTCTTGGAAGCATTCCTACCTACTGAAAACACCATTTAGTTTGATTAAAATCCATAAAAGCAGCCGATGTGCACTGTCAACAAGCTAACTTCAGCCACATATGTTTTTTTTTTTTTTTATGAACACTTTGCCATTTCCAGACAGCTGTTCATTGTCTAGACAGGTAAGATACCTCTGTGGTTCCTGGCCTGGGATTGTCTCCCTGTCACTGCCATCATTCCTCATCATCAAACAGGAGGTTTCCTTCCCTTGCTTTTCCACTGCCGTCATCATCTGTCACCAGAACCAAGGGGAAGGAGAAACATAATTACAGGACAGAGGCAAAGAGCAAAGCTGTAGCTGTCAAACTGACATTGTTCAACAATTACACCAAATGCCTGTAAACAATCCACGGTAAAAGTGGCTGTAGCCCATCTATTGCCCAGTGGTGTCAGGATAAAAATAATTTGTTTGAAGAGATAGTAGGAGGCAAATAATAAGAAAGGAATAGACGAGCAAGGGCAACAGATCTGATAATGACGCATTACTGTTATTAAATGTAATATCAGCTACTTACATTGCTGTACTTAGTATCCTCAGTCTACCAATTATACACAAGCTTTACTTGGCAAGTGATGCTAGTGGGCCAGCATAACGCACACTAATTACTCACTAGTTTACCACATTCATAACTAGGAATTAGAGGAATATTGTTGGTTGTCTGCTGTGTGCATGCCTATTAAACTATTGGCACCAAGCTATCATTATACTTACATGAACATAAAGCAGATGAAACCACACACACACACACACTGGAGAACAAAGAAAGAGAAGCCTACACAGTACT